TGTTCATTTTTCTCATGTGTCCCCATTTCTCGGTGTAATGTTTTCAGTTAGTATTGTTTGCTTGTACCTTCCCATTGCTATTTAGGATGTACGTACATACAGCTGACGAGTCCAAAATAGGACGAAAGGCGCGACCTGGATTTCACTGCTAGCCACCATCCATCTTCGCTTATAAAAATTTAGGTTTATTTCACATAATACATGCAGTATTTATTTTTTCATTTTGTTTGTGTAAAATGTTGTCTTTATTAGCGTTAACTGGTTTAAGTGAGCCTATGACAATTACGGATACCGATTAATAACCGATATTGTTATTAAACTCCAAACTAGTAGTTTTAATGGTTAAGCGTTCATTACGGAACACGAGTCAAGGGTCCCCCCGGAGCTGTGCGTGAATACCACTGAGGAACACAGCAGAACTATGAAACAACTGCTCCCAAGCTATCAATTGTACACCAATTGGGAACAAATTGTGGTAAATACGTGAAAACTACTATCTTTCATAACAGAAAGAGTTATTGAGTAAATGCTATATTAGGATTTTGATATGTAGTAAAATCATATACAGTAATGGCTTTTGAATGAGACCAACGTCCACGTATCTAAAGATATGTTAGCGAAACTTATGTATCTTCCTGGACTAGTGACCCATATTTCGAATTAAAGTGAATTCGTTGGATGTGGTGAAATAGTGAGACATTAAAATATCAATTCAAAAGTCCTGAGCTCGATTGTTAGCGATGTAATTGCTTACTACTGTTTCGTATTATGACATTTTCCTATGGTATGATAACTGATAACTCCGTCTGTAGCTCTTATAGGGTTACTGCCGGTCCCAAGCCCGGGTAAAGGAGGAGGGTTGGGCATAGGGTTAGCGTCCCCATCCCGTAGAAAACTAACTCGCTAAAAAAACGCTTACCAGAAAAAATAATTCAAACCATTTTAACTCTGCCCTGAGAGTTAGAAGGTCTTCATTTAGAAGAATTATGACGATTCATGGTGAAAGCCGAGTTCCTTCGGAAGCCACGAGGCCGATGCCTCTTCTAACAACCAGAGCAAAAATTTTTATAGGTACATGGAACGTTAGAACAATGTGGGAAACCGGGAAGACCAGCCAAATAGCAACGGAAATGAGGAGATACAACATGGCAGTACTGGGAATCAGCGAAACCCACTGGACCCAAGCTGGACAGAAAAGGCTAGCTACGGGAGAGATGCTGCTATACTCCGGTCACGAAGAGGAAAATGCTCCACACACTCAGGGAGTTGCTCTAATGCTGTCCAAAGTAGCACGAAATGCACTTGTAGGATGGGAATCCCACGGATCCAGAATCATCAAAGCATCATTCAAAACAAAGAAGGAGGGGATCTTAATGAATATTATCCAATGTTATGCACCCACCAATGATAGCAACGACGACATTAAAGATCAATTCTACGAGCGGCTGCAGTCAATCATAGAGAAATGCTCAAGAAAGGACCTCACCATTCTGATGGGAGATCTAAATGCCAAGGTCGGAATAGAAAACACTGGATATGAAGATATTATGGGACGACATGGACTGGGAGAAAGAAACGAAAATGGAGAAAGATTTGCAAATTTGTGTGCATTCAACAAATTAGTCATAGGAGGCACAATATTTCCACACAAGCGTATACACAAGGCTACATGGATCTCACCGGACCACACTACAGAGAACCAAATAGATCATATTTGCATCAACAAAAAATTCCGAAGGACAATGGAAGATGTGAGAACCAGGAGAGGTGCTGACGTAGCTTCAGATCACCACCTAGTTGTAGCCAATTTGAAACTGAAGCTAAAAAAGAACTGGACAGGTGGACAAACAGCAATACAAAGGTTCAATACAGCCTTCCTTTGAGATACTGTCAAACTCAATGAATTCAAGATAGCTCTCAACAACAGGTTCCAAGCCTTTCAAGATCTACTGAAGGAAGAAGAAACTACCATGGAGGACAACTGGAAAGGCATCAAAGAAACATTGACTTCAACGTGTCAAGAGGTTCTGGTCCTAAAGAAACACCATCATAAGGAATGGATCTCTATAGAAACACTGGACAAGATCAAAGAAAGGAAGAACAGGAAGACAGCAATTAACAACAGCCGAACACGAACAGAGAAAGTCCAAGTACAAGCTGAATACATAGAAGCAAACAAACAAGTGAAAAGGAGCATTAGAGCCGACAAGAAGAAATACGTGGAAGAACAAGCAACGACGGCGGAAAAAGCTGCTAGAGAAGGAAATATGAAACAACTTTATGATACAACGAAGAAACTGGCAGGGAAATACAGTAAACCAGAGAGACCGGTCAAAGACAAGGAAGGCAAGCCAATCACTGAAATTCAACAACAGCGAAACAGATGGGTAGAATACTTCGAGGAACTCCTGAATAGGTCGGCTCCAATGAATCCACCGGACATCGAAGCAGCACACATAGATCTTCCTATAGATGTCAATCCACCAACTACGGAAGAAATTAGAATGGCCGTCAGACAAATCAAGAACGGGAAAGCAGCAGGACCCGACAACATACCAGCTGAAGCACTGAAATCAGACATCGAAGTAACCACAAGCATCCTTTATCTTCTATTCAAAAAGATTTGGAAGGAGGAACAAGTGCCGATGGACTGGAAAGAAGGACACCTCGTCAGGATTCCAAAGAAAGATCTGAGCAAATGTGAAAACTACAGAGGCATAACACTACTGTCAATACCAGGGAAAGTCTTCAACAGATTGTTGCTGAACCGGATGAAGGATGCAGTAGACGCCCAACTTCGAGATCAACAAGCTGGATTCCGTAAGGATCGGTCGGGCACAGACCAGATTGCAACACTACGGATCATCGTCGAACAATCAGTTGAGTGGAACTCATCACTATACATCAACTTCATTGATTATGAAAAGGCATTCGACAGTGTAGATAGGAAGAGGACGTTATGGAAACTTCTTCGACACTACGGAGTTCCTGAGAAGATTGTCAATATTATCCGGAACTCATATGACGGACTACAGTGCAAAGTAGTGCATGGAGGACAGCTGACAGATGCATTCCAAGTAAGGACCGGAGTCAGACAAGGCTGTTTACTCTCTCCCTTCCTCTTTCTTCTGGTGGTCGACTGGATTATGAAGACCTCAACATCTGAAGGAAAACACGGAATACAATGGACAGCTCAGAATCAATTAGACGATTTGGACTTCGCAGATGACCTAGCCCTCCTATCACGTACACACGAACAGATGCAGATGAAGACAGCCAGTGTAGCAGCAGTCTCTGCATCAGTAGGCCTCATCATACACAAAGGGAAAACTAAGTTCCTCAAATTCAAAGCGGAGAACAGCAATCCAATCACTCTTGGTGGCGAAACTCTGGAAGATGTAGAATCCTTCACATATCTGGGAAGCATCATCGATGAACAAGGAGGCTCAGATGCAGACGTAAAGGCGAGGATCGGCAAAGCAAGGGTCGCATTCCTACAATTGAAGAACATATGGAACTCAAAGCAACTTTCAACCAATATCAAAGTGAGAATCTTCAATACGAACGTCAAGGCAGTTCTACTGTATGGAGCTGAAACTTGGAGAACTACAACTACCACAATCAAGAAAGTACAAGTATTTATAAATAGCTGTCTTCGCAAGATACTCAACATCCATTGGCCGGATACCATCAGCAACAGCCTTCTGTGGGAGAGAACAAACCAACTTCCAGCTGAAGAAGAAATTAGGAAAAGACGATGGAAATGGATAGGACATACATTAGGCAAATCGTCAAACTGCATCACGAGGCAAGCCTTAACGTGGAATCCTGAAGGGAAGCGAAAAAGAGGAAGGCCAAAGAACACATTGCGTCGGATAATAGAAGCAGATATGAAAACGATGAACTAAAATTGGACGGAGCTAGAAAGGATTGCCCAGGACAGGGTTGGATAGAGAACGCTGGTGAGCGGCCTATGCTCCTTCACGAGGAGTAACAGGCGTAAGTAAGTATGATAACTGATGCTACTCTGTGACAAAAATCTACCAACGGGTGTTTAGTAACCCTAATGAACTATTATATTTGTAGCGAACGTCACCCGAGGTATTAGTTCCCTTTAAATCCCATTAGGTTAAATCGTAAAACGGCATCTGCACAGTCTTAGGGTCCTATATAATTACTTGAATTGTCAAAAAGGTGATTTGACACGCCATATATTACTAACCAATCACATTGACGAATACATAAACATTAATAGACGTTCTCATATTGTCATTATAGCTTACTGGTGATACCGCAGACTAAAGGAATAAACATGAGTTGAGACAATTAGTCTAAGAGACATTATCATGAATCTAAGAATATTTTTTGCTGACACGTATAAAGTTATCTAGAATAAGACAAACAATCTTTTAATTCAGCCAATCATCCCAAAAATAATAACAAATCAAATCTAATAAGCTGAGTACCGAAACAGTAAAATGAATGAGGAAAAGACTTATTGAAGAAATCATCTGCTTTAGCTCGAATCTTATTCTTGAAACATGTATATACAAAAAGAGAAACAATGAAATACAGATGTACGGCAATCTCAGTAGAGCTAGACTAGAATGTATTGGATACATTACGTTATATATGGGTTAACAACACCTGCGAAGCTTAAAACGTAGTATAAATGACAAAAGTTAGTACTCATTAACTCCGTAATCCTACTCAACTGTTATTGATATGATTATTTCTATTTCTTAGATTTTAATCTTGTTAAATATGACATGAAGTCACTGACTAGAATATTGTAGCTTGAAAGTTTTGAACATAAGTTACAGTCATTTACGGCGTAATACCTAAATGTTAGAAATAATCAATCCTACTGTTAATTTAAAGATAAGCTCCGGTATTACTTGATAACCTAATTTATGATAAACTAACTATTACGGGAATGGTATACTCGTAAGTTGTTTTATAACCCACTATGCACAGATTTCAAATGATAACTACGCATACAAATGCATAAATAATACTAACGTAACCAAGACACATACAAAAAAAATACGCAAACACTTGAGTAGGCACTAAAAAAAGAGTTGATCAAAATCACATTGAAATGCACTAAGATTATTGTTCTCGTAATCATCATCATCATCGTCATTATCATCAGGCTTACCGTCATTATTACAACCCCAAATTGTACAACCTTGGTGTATCGTGTAGAAATTCAAGCAATAAATTAGAATAGGAAGATTAAAGGGGCTACATATGGAGAAAAGTTGGAGAGACGGAGAAAAGAAACATGGGAGAAAAAACAAGGGAATATAAACATTTAAAAAATAGACATATTTGGACAAAAGAAACAGGACTATAACAATAAGAATAATAATAATAAATCCTTTAAATATGTATATATAACAAGGGTATATCACAATTGATATACACATGTATTCATTCAGTATGAAAACACATTTACTCATCTTTAGAAAGAAAGAAAGAAACTGGGATATTCTGATCAAGAAACTGTACAACATAATAGGAAGTTCATTGAGAACTTCTTTAAAACAATATATATACGTATGTGTATAAGCAACTCAGATAATTACAAAATATGCAGTAGTGTAAGGGGGTTCGGCTGTTGTTGTTTTTTTAAAAAAAGAAAAAGAAGTGTAGAAGGTTAACCAAAAGATATCATCACGACAATTGGCACCACTTTTCTTTTAAAAGGAACAAACCAGAGATAAAACAATAAATAATATATATATATATATAGGATTGATGAACTATTATTTATAGAAAGCGGTCAAGTAGTGCGTTCTGTTAATAAATAACCTGTGTGTATGTATGTGTGTGTGTGTTTATAGATATACACAGATTGTTTTGAAAACAATTTTCGTGTGGTAACAGTGGGGGAAAAAAGGGGGAACAAATTCTCGTCTCAAGATGAAAAAGAAAAATAAGAGTTGAGCTGCACACGGAATTGATAATCATAATGATAATAGAAATACAACAGTGAATATATTATATAAATAGAATTATCTAATCAATTCAACAAAATTCACTGTCAAAGTACACAACAGATCAAAAGAGTGAACATTAACTAAAGAATATATATATATATATATATATATATGTGCATATGTAGAAAGGAAGAGAGAATTTGTGAGGTTAACTGTTAGAAACTGTACAAAAAAAGTAAACACATTTGAAGTGGAAATAAAGCCTTCCACGGTAACAACCCTGAAGTGCTTGAAGGATTGAGAATAAATGAAACAACGCTTGTTTGTTATCTACACAACAATAACATATGGAAGAGTAAGTGAAATAAACCTGAACAAAATAGTTATGAAGAAATACTACAACATACAAGACATGGAAAGGCATTGTGAATTAAGGAATTACACTTTTTTAAAAAGTACTGCCAATTTCTTTTTCTTTTAACTGTTAATTACAAGTATCTGAATCTAGATCTACAGTAGATTCTTTCAACTGATACATTGTCGATTCATTCGGTTGAATTCTCAACGATGAATAAGCGTCTGTAGATAATAACGGAATGTTTATTGGGCGTTCTAATGGATGTGATAAAACACAATTCGTAGAATTTTGTTTTAAGGTGCATATAGATAAACATTGGGCAATAATATGACTGGCATTGTTTGTTTTTAATCCTGTTTCGCTTGGTGTACAGCCAAATGCTATTTCTGATAAAAGTTGTGACTCTTTAAGTAACCACCTGGTAAAAAAAAATGCACGAAAATTAAAATAAATAATTTATTAAAGCTGATTAAAACTGTTCATTTTTGTATTGGTTGTCTGAATCTTACCCTTGACGTTTAGGACTGTTAGCATATGCGCACCCTGGACGGATTGCCTCGATATCGCCATTACGTTACAAGCAATATAAATAAGATTGGGATGCAATTGCATACAACTGACGAGTCCCAAGTAGTAAGAAACACGCGTCCTCAATTCAAACTACTATCAATCTGTGCTTATAATGGTTACAACTATGTTTAACAGGCTATATTGGAATCGGACAAGAAACATGAGTCCTCATGCAAATTACAATGTCTAATGAGAAGAAAGCATATTCGCGGTTAAAATACTTTCAGAGGTGTTCTGAATAGTCTCTGTGATTCCTTGTTCCATGTAAAGTATCGGGAAAGTCGATTGGCTGAATAAACTTGTATATTCTCACGGGTACACAGGGCAGAGTGGGGAACCGGAAACTCCTAAGGACAAATGTAAGGATTTGCTACTCGTTTAAAGACGACTGATGGATGTTACATAAATACATAAATACACAAATCAAGTAGGTTTATCCACTCCATGGCATATGCAAAGATTTCACTTCAGGAATGTGACGAGGTCTACACTCCTAATTTTTCAGAAGGCAGTTAGGGGCCACTCTCTGTGACATATACACCTTACGTGCACTTTATGCAAGTATATACGCCACTTAGCGTTAATCCCAGATAGACAACCAAACGTTGCATGAATACTTGAAATACATAGATCAGAGACCTATGGATTCCCAGGATAAAAGCATAGATGACGTCCCCGCAACCGTTTTTGTTTTTCGGTAAGCAGGTACACTTTATACACACGCCTGGAAGACTGAGATAAAATCAATTTATGTGTCTTAAAGCACCTTCCCATTAATCCGCTATCAGATGAACAGCGGGATGATCTGAATTTACGATAGCGTTTGGTCAGACCGACCTCATAAACCCCATGACATTTAGAGAAGCGCGGGACGTTATAGGTTGTATTTTTCTCCACAGCCTCTGTAATAACATTTCTAGCAATGACAATAGGTTGTAAGGGTTCGAATTTCATGGCAAGCAACAATTAGTTCAAGATTCCACATAAACCTTCATGATGAGAGTCAACTCTTGCACGAAAACTAAGTTAACGATTTTTTGCCGCTTTAACCGCTTAATATAATCTTTAGTATGCTTGGAATAAGAATTACAAACTAGTCCACCAATACATCGTGTCTTAAAGACGATGTGAAGAAAAAAATCAGATAAAGTTTAACATTTCATGAAGAAAATCCGAGAGTCTGAGAAAAAACAAGAGAGTTGATTTATGGGAATATACATAGTAGATTAATTCCTGTAGGTATTATCTGTTTATAAACAATTTCAGACGGAATAAAATATTTCGATATTGAACAGAATTAATAGGAAATAACAGTTCTGTAAACACGATTAAACTACTTGAAAGTAGTATCATTCACCTAATATAAATTAGAAGAACTTTAAGAACAAAACCAAGATTAACTGTAATTAGACGTATTGAATCTTAATTTTAACACAAGGACTACAAATCGATAGTTTTTTCAGTTATTTTATGAAATGATATCTTATTACACAGAACTGATGTCTTAAAATCCTACGAGTAAAGCTTTGAAAGAAATCATAGACAGGAAGGAACATCAACTTTGAGATGCAACTGCATCCAGCTGACGAGTACCAAATAGGACGCAACGCGCATCCTAGATTCTACTGCTAGCTACCATCCATATCGTCCTTACAATCGGTCAGTCAGCTAGTTACAACCTAGGACTAGGTACATATATGCATCGATTCAAGTTACCACATCTCATTAGCACAACAAGACCAACACCAAATTCATAGTAGTCACTTCAATGGTAGTAATATATAAAAGAAAGATGGCGTATAAGTATATAATACAGGAAGAAAGGATTAGTTCGTACAAAGAGAGGCATAAACTAGTTCTAATTTCACGGTATAAGAGAAGACAGAGAGTGCACCGACGCCATTGTGATCGATTCTGAGCCATGTCACCAACATTCTCCAACCACTGATTACAATAGTTGCGCGAACTCCAAACAAGTAATCTGTATCAGAAGTTATTGACTTTACAGACTGATGCCACGTTTTGGCCGCCCCGAAATTTCTTCCAACCATCCCCAACACTAGTCAGCATTGCGCGTCGTCGTAATCAGTGTTTAGACATACGTAACACGTGACCCAACCATCTCAGTCGACGAAGATTCACAACCTCATCAACTGACTTACCATCACTCTCTAATACCCTGCACCTAACCCCACTATTATTTACCCGGTGATCCCAGCAGATGGGAGTAATATTTCTAAGACATGCGTGGTCAAATACTAGCAACTCACGAGTATCTTCTCTTAATGGCCACACTTCACAACCGTAAAGTAGAACAGAGCGAACTGCTGCACAGTATACTCATCCTTTTAATGGTATACGGATATCTCGCTTTCTCCATAGGTGACGTTAGTTGGCAAAAGCCAAACGATATTTTTGAATTCGTGCTGAGATTTCGTCAAACACCAACTCAATAGGGCTGATCAGACTTCCAAGATAAGTGAAGTTGTCGACGAGTTCGACTACTTCACTCCCTATCCTTAGTTCAAGTGTTGACGCAGACCAGTCCTGAAGCAACAAACTGCATTTAGAGGGAGAGAAACGCATCCCAAACAACCTGTTATTGTTGCTCAGTGCTACCAAAAGACTCTGGGTCTTATCAGCGTCTTCACGAAACAGGACTACGTCATTTGCGTATTTTAAGTCGATAAGTGAGCCTCCTGTAAGGAGATCAATTTATGAAAATTCAGACGACGAGAACGTTATTTTCAGCAGTAGGTCGTTATAATGCTTGTGACATAATGACAATATTGAGGCAATCTGCACAGGATATACATACACCAATGAGAGACTGATCAATATCGACGAGAAGATCTAAAAAACCGATATATATATATATATGGATTATAATAATTGTTCGAGTATTTTTGACAGACAGAATAACTTTGTTTAATGAGCTCTTTTCGAATGGAAGTACATTTACAATGAAATTTTAATGCAGAGGTGTAACAACGTCCGTTTACAGAATGACGATAGATTAAAATAGGTTCGGCTGTCCTCAGAGTTGGGACATTGGAGACCAAGTATATTAAAATTCCCTAATTAAACTGATCTGAGATCCCCCTTCAGAGGCACAAATTCGGTATAGGTAATCGGGTTTAAGGTTACTGTGTTCTTTCTTTTTATGAAGAAGAAGTTGCTACGGAATATCGTTCAGCTGAACTATATTGATAGATATGAACATTTCTATAACTACCTTTATATCCTTATGATTAGAACAGATGATCAATAATTTGGGAAAAGATCACGATTCATGAACCCTTAGTAAGCCAACAAAATATAGGGAATAAGCCAATACGGATTATGTATAGATTGCTTCCTAGTTTTGAAGAATCGAATAAATGACGTTTTCCAAATGTGTAGAAGGTAACGCAAAAAGAAAGTTATTCTAAGATATCAACATAATTATTTTGAAGACATAAATCAATATAGTTTTAGAAAAGAAACCCACCTTCTCGCTTGATCAACATGTACTGCTAGGTTTTTCAATATAAGTGCGGAAGTTACTCGAAGATGTTTTGTTACTGGTCCTTCACGTGGTGGATTATTCATGCCTGAATGAACCAGTGAATTTATTGAGATATTTGAATGACAATTGGGATTTGTAAGTAGAAAATGATGCTGTGCAGCCAACAGCTCAGTTTGCATATTTTTAGCTTCAACAGAACGAATGATTCCCCATCCTGTACGATCACCAACTAAAGGATATTCTGGATGTGTATCTCCAATCGATGAATTAACATCAGAAAAATGTTCATTTCGAGTTCTGTACTCAGTTTTAGACTTCGCATGATTTGATCTTCGGGCTTCTAATTCTCTTGGACTGCAGTGCATATCAAGCACATGAGTCATTAAAGCGTACGGTGCTCGAGCCAGTGATGCTGACTGACAGCCTCGCCAACGACAGCAACGACGTACAAGTTGAACAGAACATTTATGATGTGACCCATCTACTTTCCAACTTTCCTTGCTAGGTAAGTGTGTACTGTAAACATGAAAGGCAACCTGTCAAAAAAAGATTGTGTAACATGAAATATGATATATGATTACGGACGAATAAAATCAACATAGAACCTGGAATACATGTGTGTTGGCCCAAATTATCATATCACATTGGCACTACATGAAAATAATAAGACTGAACAATGAGAATATGATTTGAAAAGATAGAATGGAAAGGTGGGTTTGAAGGGATACTTGAATTCAGTACTGAGGGGAAGTTGAGGGGATCTGTGACATTATGGATAGTTCTGACTCGTATCACCCAATATCCAGCCATTAATCTAGGTTATCGCGTAGACAAGGTAAGTCTAAATCTATTAGCATGTTTCAGACCGATAATCAATGACTTCAAAAACTAATTGCAGAAGTCGGTTATATCGTTCCTGGCTTTCTTCTATGCCCCTTCTACACTAACAAGCATCACTTGTCGAGGTAGGTTGTAGTTAGGCATATTTAGCACATGTCCTAACGACCTTGGTCGATGAAGATCCACTATCTCATCAGCCAGTTTGCCACCTCTGGTAAGTACGCTATCTTACCTTAATATTGCATACTTAGTCATTCCATGAAACTCAAACAATGCCTACGATCAAAGATCTACAACCTAAGCGTGTTTTCTGCCCCCGAATGCCCTAGCAAGGCCAAGGGTGAGAAGAGTTAGCTCTTCCTCTCCAAATGCTCTCACATGACCACTTCCAGGAAAGTTCTACTCACTGCCTTTCGCGCGACGGGTGGTGTTTACGAAATTGAGAGGACGAAATGCGAATGTCCGAGGGTTTAACCGAGTTGGTGGATAGGGACGATCCATCTAAGAGAGTTCGAAAACCTTCATTCCAAACCAATCGTGCACATGGGCTCCAGGATCCTGAGGGGATAAGTGGAGCATAAACCTATCGTTGGTCACCGGCTACCATGGGACTGCATCTCCTGACGTTGCTCCACTGCCTTGTAGATCGGACCTTTTGGTCGAAGGCTCCGGGTGTGGCCCCCTAAGAAAACCACCTGCTTCGGTTTATATACTGACGCAAACCAGTCCTAGAACGAAATTTTGCATTTAGAAGGAGAGAAATGCAAGCGCTGTTGTTCAGAATTTTTTCACATTAGATTATTACATCTAGATGTTCTAGGTCCGTGAGCAAATCTCCTAGTGGTAGATCGAGCCATGAATAGTTGACTGAATAAAATGTATTTCTAGGAGGATATCGATAACAAAATTAAATAGAAACTGAGATAGTAGGGAGACCTGACGAACGTCACTGAGGTACAAGAGTAGAAGAGGCTACCTGATTTGCAATCACAAAGAGCTGTGACATAATAAAAATATGACCCCATATATTTTTAACCAACTTAATATTATGATGTAAGGAAAAATTGTAAAGAGAATTGTACTGGTTCAACAAATTAGAATAAAATGTCTAATAGACTTATTTAAACTATGGTCTGTAAAAGGAATCATAAAATCTGAAGTAGAGAGATTTTTAACTCATCAACTAACAGATTAAAATATTAATTTATAATTTAGCCACCACTTTTCTATTCAAGCGACAGAAGTGCTTTTTTTCAGATGTTCTATTTAGTGTAAAAAACCTAAAAATCTCCCAAGCTCCAAAAAGAAACATTTCGAAAAAAACCAAAGATTAATAGAAAGTAATCAGACCCACCTGGTGTTTCAATTCAAATGAAGCTGTACAACACTCCCATTCACATAAATACAATACTGGTTTTTCTATGTTAACTATTTTAGATGGATCCTCTGAACATGTGAGACTAGCATTGTAAAGTGTATTGCCAGATTCTGAATTGCGTTCTGATGATTCACTGGTCACGGAAACATCACAATCATGTTTGCTTGATTTGTCCATAACATCTTTTGAAATTGATGAATTTTTGTTATCGTTGCTTGAGGGGGGTTCGACTATCGCCTTACTACTACTACTGCTAGTACTGGTGTCTGGAGGGGATTGAACTGATACTGGATCGGTAGGTTGTTTCCAAGTAGGATCCAGAACAGAACCAGGTACAGGATTAAACGTTAATGGAACATGCAAAGTCGGTGACGAGTCAATATGTTTAGACGTCAGATCACGTCGACGCTTCGGTGTGAACAATCGATTTTTTGAACCCCATTTTCGTCGACGCTTCAAGAATCTATGAGAAGAATGTACACCACGAAACCGGAATTTTGAATTTTTCTCCAGTTCATCAGTTTTTTTACTATTATTGATATCATCATTATTGACGTTACCATTCCCACTAGAAGCAATGTACAATGGATTATTTTCACATAGTGAACTGTTATCTTTTTCATTTTCATGAATCTTATCCGTTAAATATCCATTGCTTAAATAAGTCTTGCTCGATTTTTTATTTGAATTCTCACATACATCAAAAGGCGTTGATTTACCATTATTCGAGTTAGTATCCGTGTTTGAATTATCCTGTGAGTGTTGATATTAAATTATGTAAAAGAGAATGAGGAAACTGATATGATACAAATATATATATTAAACAAAAGTGATACAGAATTTTAGACACATTTTGACGAAGATCAGACAACTTTACCAGTATCTTATACTAATAACTATGTACTGTTTATATGACCAAATTGTGATTTAAAATGTATGGTAAGAGATTAACATATTTCTTCAAAATCGTGTTGTTTTGAAGGTGAATAGAAGCCGGTGACAGGAAGTTCTGGAACTAAGCAGTGTACTAGTTGACATTCGTCAAGTAAGGTCACAATACATGCAACGTTGACTAATTTAGAATAGTGGTCACAATGTAACTTAATCACAAGAACTCGACGAGTTCTACGAATGAAACAAACAAAATTCCCGTTACATTCCGTGTTAATACAAATCCTGTCTTCATTGCTAAGTCAATATTACGAGAGATGATACGCAACTCGGTGACTATGAGTCAACGTGACTTGAAAACTACGATATACGGGCAAAAGGGACGAAATATTATGTTTGCTTAAAACTCGGAAGATTCAGTCCACAAGTTGATCGCGTAGTTTACTGGTCGAAAGTCCAATGACCAAATTCAACAGGTAACAACCGAATCCGATGATGACAAGAAGAATAAATTTAAACCTTTAGCATTTAAACAGCCTATAATTCCAATTCTACAGATAAAACACCTTCCAACTGTCGTTTGCATAAACATAAATATATATTAGAGGATTATAACTATCTTAGTCATTCCAAATATGAAACTAACAGCCCAATAAGTAAAGAAAGGTATAACAAGAAAGTAAAATTAGGATATAAACCATGAACACAGCGATAAAAGAGAACTACCTACCCATGCGTTGATTTTACAATGTGATATGACATGGAAAAGTTTTAACTCATTGGACAGTGCGTAACCTACATGAGTAATTGCTTTCAATCCGACACAATACTCAATTATGTCCATTTTTCTGTTAAGATTCTGTACATAAGCATATCACTTTGATAAGTAAAAAATCTATTCTTTTGGTTAGTGATCTTGTCTTTTAATATCATTTTATTATGAGGGCTTACATCAGTAATTCACTCTTGTTAACAGATATTGCGGTATATGCTACTGATATCAACAGATATAGGTAGTATGTACTACTAATTGAAATTGGAATGACTGGTGGCAGAAGATTGAGAAAATCGAAGAGAACGAGAACGGAAACACAGAGTGACTGGTATGAAAATGAAGGAACAAGCAAGTCTGAGACAATTGATGGATATTTTGCAGATGAAGTATTTATTGTGTGGTTCTCAGATTTTACTAAAAGATTCGGCGAGACTATAATTTATGGACGAACTAATCACGTATAAGATAACAGGTCTCGGATTTTGGCGCGACATTCATTTATTTGGCTAAATAGTGTTTTGAAATTATACTTGATGTCAGTTCGTGATGACAACATTAAATCTAATTCCTAACTTTACCCATCAAATGTGAATCATGGTCCTTATTCTTCAAACTGTTTTATAATCTTCATTTGGCTCTAGTAATTAGGTGGGCACTCTCAAGGCCATCTTAGCGTCGCTCAAAGGTCGACCATAAATTATAGTCTCACCAGAGATTCTGTAGTTTTGTATCCATATACATTTGGTTGTCCACACCATGTTCTCGTTTACGACAATATCACCCGGTCACTTCTGATTAGTGCGTATCATCGAATGATCAGTAGTTTTTTCTTTCATTTTACCAATTAAAAATTCATCCATCAAATCTCACTTTATAACAGTGGCGATTGGATAAAAATCAACTTTAATAAATATCAATTAGATTGGATGAGTGAAAATCGTTATGCATTCAGTTAATACAGTCCAACTCCATAAAATATCAATTTATATAACATGAGTACAATGCTCACGTATGACATGTAGACTGATTACTGTTTAGTACTCTACTCACATATATATAAGACGAATTAGAATTTTACATATTTCAGTGAGAAGTTTTACAAGACCATAATGAAAATATAGACTAGCTTAAACTACTTGTGTCATTGATTTGTTGAATAATCAAAGGTTACAATCAATAATCCAACCCATAAATTTACTAGAAACCAAACCAAAACGTGGCATCAGTGCTTGAAGTCACTAACTTCTAGTCTGAGCCATGTTAGTAGATGCAGACTACTTGGTTGGTGTCCGCATGACTATCGTAACCAATGGTTGGAGACTATTGGTGACATTGCTCAGAATCGATCACAATGGCGTCGGTGTATACACTCTGTCTTCCCTTATACTAATCGCTTCATATCTTTCATTCTACGAACTAATTCTTTCTTCCTGTACCATGTTCTTATATGCAATCTTTCTTATATATATATATATATATATATATATATATATATATATATATATATATATATATATATATATATATATTACCACCAGTGAATTAACTACTCCTATGAATCCGGTGTTCATCTTGCTGTGCTAATGCAGTATGGCAACTTGGACCGATGTATATGCGTGTGTGGTCCTTCTTTGTAGCTGACTGGCTGACTAGAAACTAGTCTACGAAGACAATTATTTTCTTCGCTTATTTGTAATTTTCCAATATTTACTGGAAATAGTGAATGATGTCGATGGAAAAGGCTTATTAGAGAGCATACAGAATTTTACGCATATTTTCTCGTCTTCATTACGATTAGGAAAACAAAATCCTACCTCGTAGTTATACATACATAAGTGAGGTGTTTATGGGAAATTTAATTAATCTTTTAATGATAGATGGTCGAAAGCAGTCGGCAGGAAAAACAATCAAATCCAGTGATGGTATCTAACACTAATATTTACTTTCAAAATGATCCATAACCATAGAACAGATAGTGAAGTGATAGTTTGACAATTGAACCAACCGACATTCAGCCACTAAGTTTCAGGTTTAGATTATGCTTTACTTATTTCGGCTTGGGTACACAAGTTGTACAACTACCGTAATTCAAAGTAGTGTAGATAATACATTAGTCACACTATTATCCTATTCATTTACTTGATGAATGAAACGAAGACCGATCAGTTGAACGAGCGCAGTACGTGAAGGATAATACAAGTAAAATTAACACTTAGAGAGAGAGAGAGACGATAGACACATGCAAATGATGTAACTTGAACAGATTGATAATAAATTGGGTTGAAAAATGTAGAAGCATAAAACAATGCATAAATAAAAAGAAATAAACTCCGAGAAATGAAATGAGAATTTTGAAAATAACGAACTAATAATAACTGCCTACAAACCACCACAGCAATAGTTGTCATCAATACTATGCTCCCTGAATACATATCCAACATAAGAACTGACTTTACCAAAACAAATCTGGAGTTTTTATTGATCTCAGGTAGAACGTCAAATCGAAATGATGTTTCTTACACAAACATGCTAATTTAGTCTTTGATAAAAATTTTCAATAAAGTAGATACAAGACAAGAATAATAACACACTCACTTTTGTACTTAAGATTAGTTCACGCTTTGTCTCTAATACACCATTGACACATTTGATAGTTGATTTACACTGTTCAGAAGTTTGCTTTAATTTTCTGTCTTGAATAGCTAAAACAGCTTCTTGTAAAATACCAGTTCGAAGACCATTCGTATGAAAAGTATTAACTGGACTTTTCAATTCACCGTCCATGATAGGATCAATAGTTTTTTCACCATTAACAATAGGCTTGATTTCACTGTCATCTAGCTCGTCCTTATTATTACTATTATTACTGGTTTTCTTGTTACAAGTATCATAATTCACAATTGGCTTCAAATGAGGTAGTAAATTACGAGAATTATTTATTTGATTTAAAGATTCATCGGGAAAATTTTCTGAACAAACTTCATGTTTATCAGTTTGTTGAATTTCCTTGGGGTTTATAGATACCCCTACAGGAACTGAGTCTCCTGTAAAGGCAAAATAAGACCATCTATTATCATAATATAATAATATCCATAAAACATTAAAAATAGAATATTATTTTGGAATGACAGGCAAGAATAAGGGCTGAGTCAAGATCTAACTTCATTGGTGTATAAGTGACCTATTAAGTCATCATTCTCCATTCACTTTTATTTTTAATTCCTTGTTTCTTTTAATATTTCTTATTTGAGCACGTCACTTGGTTCGAAGAAAAAATTTAATCTTCTAGCAAGATGTATTGGTCTTCAGATATCGATTTTATTCGGAGGTATACGTTAATAATTTGATTTTGTGAGAAGTTAACAATCAATTATAAGGTAAGACTGCTAAAATCACCAGTCGGGAATCAATTATTCATAAATTTCATAATGCATTACCTACTAAATCTTTAAACCCATTATACAGTATGGCGAGATAAGTGATCGTTAGACTGACGTAGCCTTTAATAGTCTATTGAAATTTCTTTAGTTCAACCCCAGAAATTTTGTAACACGTTTATGTGACTGTCAGTTAGATCTAACTATTCAAGTTTTATTTCTCCGTCAATGAATTTGTGCTTGTGAGCACTTAAAAGAAACTAAAACGTATGTACCTACAATAAATAAATCGATCTCTATTAATCCCTATATGATGAAAAAGCCAAATACCCAATAACAATTCAACATACTACGTCAGTGGACAAAATAAAATAACTTCGCTAACTAACTTACTACTTATATCAGAAACAAAAAACCAACTGCTTAATCGGCAGTTGATCAACAATACACAAGTGATCATTTATATCATATTAGATTGTCTTATTGATGGATTCGCTATAGTATCGGTGTCATTGTTTTGGATGATACATAAGATAAGTGTATAAACTAAAATTTACCTTGAGGTTGGGATCTTAGATTGCACGAATTCGCAAGCAGCAAAGATGTTGGACTAATTCGATCTGTTACAGCCATGTTTCCTGATGAGTGATTAGTTCTACAAGGAGAAGAAATATTAACTTTTACTGCATCAGCCGCTTGAGTAGTAGATGAAATTAGACTTGTCCGTGAATGAGTCCGTTTTATGGAACGTCGCATTGCAGATGGCGGTGGTAAGGAAGGTGGTGGCATTTGAAGTCTATCCGTCAGTTCAGATAGACTAGGTGTAACCACTTTTGGTGAATTAGGAGAAGTAGAATTGATAACTGGCATATTAATATTAGGTGATGATGAAGCAGGTGGTGCTGAAGATAGTAAGTTGATAAGACCAGAGCAAGCAGTACTTCCGCTTTGAGGTCTGTACACTGGATGTGATATACAAGTAGATGTTGGTGAAATTGGGGATTGTTTTAAATGAGTACTAGATTCGAACTTTAAATTACGGAAGGATGAAGTAGAAGAGTTATGAATATTGTTATTATCAAAAGAATCAAAAGGAACTGTATGTACTACAGGAAGTTTTGGGCGTAAATATGACTTAAACACATGCCCATTAGTGTATGCTGGCGCATCCCTGGATCGATTGAGCTCATTCACACTAGGAGACAGACGACTAGGAGCAGGAATTCGTAGACCGGTCCCATGAGGGAGTTGTGGTTGAACGTTTTGAGCTTGTGGAGTTCGGGGTAAAAGCTATAAATAGGTTTAAAAAACAGTAAAATTACATGCACTGAATAGAAATACATAAGTTTTCGAATAGAACTGTACAAAAAGAGAGTATAAATTAACCATACAGTTGCATCAAGTCGAATAATTTTGATAATTTCCCTAGGAACTTAATTACTTTATATACAAGGAAATAAACAAGGAGTACTTGTATCAAACATTTTAACCATATGAGAATATTTTTTGATATGTTTGAAGTAAAAGTATTAAAATACACAAACCAGTTTAAAAGTTTTATTCCATGAATATGTAACTTACTCTAATGCGATGAAGCGATTGAGAACCCATCGCCTGGCCTTCTAATGTAAGTAATGCTAACAAGGGTTGGAGTAAAATAAAAGGAATGTTTTCTTGATCGAATGAATTTACATTTAAGCAACAGGACTCCCAGCAAGTTAAACACATCGTTGCATCCAGATTTGTTAAGCAACGAAGAGCCTCTAAAGTAGCACACACAACTGCCAAATCTGGTAAGCATAACAACTGGGCAAGTCTGGGCCAAACAGTTTGAGGTAGACCGACAAGAAGACTAGATAAATTCATTTTTTCACGAACTTTCGTCAGATTAGCCAGAAACATCAAACCTAGAATGTTAGTAAAAAAAGGCAAATGAATGATAAGAGGTCTTAAAACAACTAATATGCAGTACGTACTTAAGATTTGAAAAGATTAAGATAAGAAAAATCTCACCTGCAATTAGATCACACCGATCATTACTTTCCAGAATACATCGAGTTAAAAATGCTAAGGTCAGCTGGCCAAGACGACAACCGTTATCAATTAAAGGTGTCCAATATTCTGGGCAATCGAGTGGGAGTGATAAACTAGGTGGATCTAGGGGATAACGTATGCTTGAAAGTAGTTGTAGCCCCAAGGATCTCAATCCTGAGTGATGTGCATAAGCACAAAGAAATATAAAACGAAGTGCATTTGGACTTCCTGCAATAACACGTGCATTTTCTCGCCAAGTTACAAGAGGCAAGCCATTTGGGAAAAGGTTGCAAGGTATGATAGGTCCAAAATCTAGTTCGTCATCGTCATCTTCGACTACTGACGCATAGGCAACAGGTGGTGGAGTCACCAGGTTAACAAGAATAGTGGCGATCAACAAAACACGGGAACCTTCAAAACCTTCCATTGGCCAATGGGTTCCAAAATACTGATTGGAATACGGAGTAAAAAGCTCATGCATAACCTTTTCTTCATTTGTGCCAATTTCATCGATAGTGTATTCTGAAAAGGATGACATAAAACAGAGCTATATAGTGTTGTATTGAATAAAGAAAATGGGTCATTTTATCACCGTATCATAAAACCATTTACAAATTATGAGAAATAGGAAGCGGTACAACAATCTGGTCAAACGACTGAAGCTAGAGAAGTGTATCACTGTATTCAAGGGTTATTTAGGTGAAATCGTTTCATGATGCAAACTGATATTCAAAGTGCTTTTCCCTGTCTAGTTTAATGTACCACAAGCCTATTAATCAAAATTTACCTTGAATTTGATTCTAAACACATCTTTTTAACTTCTGATTAGGTTCAAATTTCCTAACATTCGGGTAAATGTTAATCAAAATTTGCCTGCACATTTCAATGCTGTTTTTATCTAATCCTTTATTGACGGTCGAATTTCATTGATCAATCCGTAATATGGTCGCCAGTTTAAATGACTCGATATCGAGTTTATTATACTTTCTATTTCAGATGGTTTATTTACAAAATACACATCAATTCTGGCACAAGTAAACACCTAAATATATATGCCACACAAATAAATGTAAGTTAAATCTGCGTTTGTAGTTCTACTGCATATGCCACCCACACTCTACAGTACCATAACAGCCACGAGATGTTTGGTTTCACTAGATGCTAACTTCATTAGATGTGTTGGTTTGACATGTTTTAACTTCAACTGGTACACATTCAGGCCAGGGTCCTACACTACTTATGACTAACTGACTAGCTATTATAGTACAATCTGTGGTCAAGATGCTCAATTTGGCCTTTGAAAACGGACACAATCGGTAAGACACCGATAACTAACAGAAAACTTAGCACACATGTAATTAGGTCCAATTTGATACACTACATCAGAACGGCACTAACTAACCTAAATAAATAAGATGCAGAATTTGAACATTATGGGCTGGTCAAATCTTCACAATGCTACAATCTGAAAGTACTTCAACCTAACCTTAACTTGGAAAAGACTAACAGTTAAACTTAATTAAACATGTAATTTAGTGTAATATAGCAAATATGTATAGATTTTGTTTACTGGATTATGTAATAACGACTATACAGAATCACTTCCATCATATTGACTAGTAAACAAAGTAAATCCCAATTATTAACAACAAACATATAAGTATACTAGGTGGTAATTTAGATTTAGATTTTACACTGGTAATGGTACAACCTAAGTGAATATAATTTTATTTCCTGTATACTGTATCTAAACTATTGAGATTCAACCACAGACTGTAAAGATATAGATAGTAGAAGAATATAAAACTTAACTTTATTTTTAAAGTTCTTGAATTATCTTGTTAATGCTTCTACATGACCTACATAAACAAAATCTTATTATTATTATTATTAGTTAAATAAATGCAACTACATTGAATATAGTGATTTTTCTCGATTCGAAGCACTTTAAATAATCCCGATCAAATAATAATAATAATAATAATAATAATAATAATAATAGTAATAGTAATAGTAATAATAATACAGATTTTGCACTTGTAAGAAGAAGAAAACAAAAGATAACTTGATGATGATGATGGTGACCTTGTCGAACATTAATATTATAATAATACACTTAAAAGTGATTGGTTTAGTCAACCATGTGACTAGATTTTTACAAACTTAAAATACAATCAAAATCTCTATAAATATCTCAAGGTGAATTGTATAGATATTTATATAGAGAATATCAGAACGAAGAAAGAAAAATATAACAGAAATAATTAATAATTGATCTACAATGTATGTATATATATAAATGGAATTCACTTACCCGTATTAATGAAAACATCAGGACGGAGGAATATACGTCCAGACGGTTCACGAACAACACTGTACCAAAACTTTCATTGAAAGAAAAAAATAGAAATCAAAATATCAAGTTATTTTATCAATAAAATGTTATGTTACGATAAACATAATGAATGATAACTTTTGGGATCCATTTATGGACCAATACTATACGTAAATTTTTATCGTATCATTGCTAAATAACTAAACTATACATATTCATATCCCTATTATTATGAGCTTTATTTTGACCCATAAACTATTATTATACGATTTACCATTCTTGAGTTATACCTAGTTCATTAATTACTATCTCCCACATTCACAACCACTTTTGGCTAAATCTTGTACAAATATTGTTTCCTATTTTATGGTACGATGTGGTCTGTCTGGTTGGTATATCAACCTAGTATGTTTTAAATAAATGATTCATATTGCAGAGGCTGAGATTGGTGTTCTGGACTTAACTGGCTGGTCTAGGCTAGATAGGAAGCACGACCGATAAGTACTCCAGACTGCTCGCATGGGTTTTATGCATCATTGGTCCGATCGATAATTCACTGTTCTCTAATTGGTGTTATCATTACGTTATACATTAGCCACAAGTTATGACATAAAAAATATTTTTTTAAGTCTTCCTAAATAAATGAAGAATCGGATGTCACATTACTTAATGAACAAACCAACTGATAACTAACTAAACAAATATTAGAAATCATGCATAACAGTGTAAAAGGAAAATATCCCAGTAAATTCTTAACAATATTCTTCATTATTTTGAAATTATGTACAAACAATGTGTCATACATAATACTCCACGGATGCATTCACTTTTATCTTCCTTCTTGATCTTGAGTCTCAGTATCCTTTAATACATGAAGTTTCAATCCATCTTTTTAAATATAACCAAGGTTCAGGTGTTCTTTTCATCAGTGCTACTATGTTATTTAAGTTTATCATCATTATTCACCTTATTATTTCCAGCGCATGTTATAGTAACTTGGGATAACACACATTTATCCCAGGCTCTATGTTGATATTTGTTTAACATCATTTGTCAAACAATATCAATAAAACATAAATCTTACATTTAGTTTAAATACCCTAGTACAGGAAAATAATTGCCCTATCGAAGGAATTTCACTTTTACGACGGTAGCAGATAAGGTCTTGCGGAAGAATGATCACATACAAAATGTTCTAAAATACTTAACACTTTTCACATTAGCTGTGTTAGTTTTGGGACTTTATTCTGTTACAGTTTACGACGAATTAACATCACTCAGTAACCAAATGCGAATATGAAACGAAATATTTGAGTAGAGATTAGATCAACTACTCATGAAAAACGTAGAGTTGATTGATACTTCCCTTTGAGTGGTTGGGGAATTAAGCTTTTAACCAATAGCCGTCCCGGGTATAGTACATTGTTTTATAACCGGTTTTTGGGTAGTATTACTACTATTAAGTTAACGAATCAACTATATGCTTTATAAAGCAGTCAAGATGAGTTTAATATCCTTGATAGTATAAGCTATGAACAAAGGAGGTTTATAATAAAAAGGAGATATGGTTCTAGCCCAAACGCAAAAATTTAAAACTTTAAACAAACTATACAAACAGAACTGCGTAATCACAACCAGATGTAGACATAATCCTATGGGCCATGACTATCACAAGAGCAATAACGATTGCATCTCGGTACGGAAAGTGATTACTGTCAATAATTCTCACAGTATTTGTATAACGGTTTAGTTACAAGAGGATGGCGATATTTTTTCTTATTTTAATCCAGGACATTTTAACATGTACGAGGTATATCACGCTTTCAACATTTCCAATGTAATAAGCAATGGTATAATGAATTTTTTTCATATGCCCGTTTCAAATGAAACCATTATTTGAAAAACTGGTCGTTAAATGAATATTATTTAAGTCGTTTCAGGAACATCCACCTAGATTTTTACCATTAGTTTATATTATACAACAGATACGAATGTAAATAATCACTTGTCACTATCGACTTCTAAACTTCCAACTAATAAGTGACGGATTTTAACCCTATCCCACGCACTTCGGTTTGAGCAACAAGGTAGCATCATTAACCTTTATAACTAATGTGTGACGTGAAATCAAATACATAGTTCCGTAACTGGCTAGTTGATAAGAAAATGTATTACACGTTAAAGAAAACACAGTACAGACAAATAGTCGCTAAATTTTTTCTAGCGAGAATCAATGAAACATACTTTGAGAAAGTTGAGTTGATTCTGACGTCCCCAAGTTTCATCACAGGAGATGTAGGACCCAAAATCTAGAATGAAATTTGTTAATGCATTTAGTATAGCATTAAATTGATAATATCCAAACTAAATAAGACTTGACAATAAAAATATACATGCTATAACAAAAATGAAAATTAACTAGAGGTTTCCTAAGAATCTCAGTGAGTCAGTAGTCAAAAGCGACGAAGAACCTGACACAAATGGGAATCGGCTTGAGTGACTACATCATATCAGCAAGATGGGATGAAATCACGAAGATGAATACTATGATAGTAGTAGAAGTACCAGTAATAAAAAATATTGGGCATAGAAAATATGATTAAATAGGAAAGAACGAACTGATGAAATGTAGAGCATAGAATGATTTTAAAATTAAGGATCTAAGGGAAAGGAATGATTGAATGGATTGGCGCAGCTTTCAACGATTTTAACATTTCAGTCGAAGTCTCTAACGACTGAAGATAATCACGCGAACTTGAACCGGTCAGTCTGTACCAACCAACATAGTTAAAATCGACACTCGACTATCTCATGGACTAATTCCATATCTTTGGTGGGCCACTCCTAGATTTCATACATACTCTTAAGACAGTCAGGTCTCAGACATGAGGTAAAACAAAGCGAACTGCTGCACAATATCATCTTTTTGGTGGTGGACGGATATCTTACCTGAATCAAAGGTGACTAGGTTTGATAAACACTTTTGAACAAATGAAGAGGTTTCGTGAGACACTAATCAACCACGGCTAATGAGACCTCATATCCAAATGAAGTGATCGATGCACTCAACATTTTGTATTAAGAGGGAGAGAGGTGCATCCAAAAAAATGATTGGATTGTTCCTGAAGGCAATCAGAAGACTGTATTTTCTCAGTCTTCAACAGACAGAATGATTTCATATGAGCACTTAAGGTCGAAAAATGGATCTGTTTGTAGATCAATCCCTAAGGAGTTAGACGAAGCACCTAAGTCTGAAAATAGACGTCCAGTCTGCTATAGACAAACTCCAGATAGACCATAGATGATTACTGAAGTTAATATTTTAGATCCTATATTAGAACATATACCTTTGTGGAAATGAAAACAGGATTTTTGTTCTTTCTTATATAGTAGGAAGATCAGTGACCAAGAGCAGTCAGATGAGACGGGACGTTTTTTGCAACTGCAAATTCAGTAGAAGTTACAGACTCATTGGCTTTCTTAACCTCTGTTTTTTCAGCACGTTTGATATCATGTTAAGCCATATTATCGTGAGCACAAATTTTATGATCTATTCCTTTGGTTGTTCTTAAAACATACCCTTAATATTTCCTTCTGAGATTAACTTTAAGGGTGTAGTCATATGCATACATGTATTTGCAGGCAAGTTTGAAAAAATATGATTACATGCAACTCAGTTAAAGTTCATATTTCACTGAGATGACAACCGACAAAATATTATTAGTTATACCTAAGGTTACACATAATTTATTTGAGACTGTTGATGCACTATTTGCTTACACTACAGAGAAAATGGAACTTCCCTATAAATGTAAATAACAATGAATGATTTTCGCTTACCTTCTCCATATATTCCAACAGATGCTACGAGAAGAGAAAGTAAGTTTGTGCAATGAGCAAGCCTAACACTAGTTGATGAACCAGATGATGGAGTTATAGATAAAACAAGAAGGGAGTTTAAAGCAACTTCTATTTCATTTGGTAGACCTGAACACAATGCTGATTCCACTAAACGCAGTTGTGAGGGTTCAAATACATCAGGAAATTCATCTGCATTAGGATTGACGTCAAATATATCATTATCTTGACCGGTTTTCAGAACCTCTTTATTACTATAATTATAATCCTGTAAACAAATGAAGAAGTCACTTATCAATTTGAAGCGAAAACAGGCTATCTGTTTAGGAACAGACGGAAATTCCACTCAGTTAAACCAGTGAGCAATTGCTTTAAAATATGTTTACGACAACAGACAGTAAATGCATGTAGCGAAGGTTAAGAAAAGTACTTTGCGGATCTATTTTTACTGACATAGGAGGAAATCATATAAATCAGACTGTTGTTACCACACATTTGGAGATAGTTAAACCCATGTAGTATTATGTAACTGTCTAACTTTAGATTTACGCTTCCTTAGAGCAATAAGTGTCTGCTTACTGAGCAATAGTCCGCTCTGTATTATTTTATGGTTGTGAAAAACGGTCTACGGAAATAGAAAAGACGTTAGGGTTGCACGTTGTTGACCATAGGTACATGTGAAACGCTGTTCGTGTTTTATGGAACGACTGAGTGATTAGGGATAGAGTGATCGACAAAAGTGGAGAGTCGGTTGACGAGCTTCTGAATTGAGGTGGTTGGGACGAATGTCTTCTGGCGTAAAAGCAGGCTGAAAGCTAGAAGCGACGAGATTAACATGGTGTCCGTCCATAAAGTCACTGACTAGTGGTTTGACTAATGATGATCGGTCGGGGTCCGCGAGGAAATCGCGATTAGCGGCTGGGGAACTTGGTTCAGAATCGTTTATAGGGTGGCCAAGGGGTATAAATGACCAAACGACTCAGCATTTCAAGTTATTCTTGGAATCACATCAGGAATCATTACATAAATCAACTAGCAAGTATTTTTAAAATATCCAACTGTCAACAAAGTTGTCAATGTTTCTGTTGGCAAGATACTTCCCTTGATATAGAAACACTACTGGTCCGAACTATTTATTAATAACCAATATAATAGATTCAAGACCATTTCAAGGAAGTCGTACAATACAAATATTATCCCTGAAATATAGATTCTGGTAAACATACATATAGAAAGTTGCTATTGGTTATTTTTGTTACAAATCGTTTGCTAAATCAAATAAAACTCCAGTGAATGCACTTAGGTGGTGAGATCTTAGTAGCTAACCGCATGTAACTTACTAAGTGATAAAATAGAAGCACTTATTAGTTTACTTTTAAAACCCAGACGTAGTCTGGTTGCTACTACCAACGGTTGTAGGATGTTACACACTTATTACGTAAGGGTGATGGAATAAAGCCAATGTCATCATTCTAAATGTATATAAAAGTCTTAAGGTAGAATTTTATTTATTTGAACAAATAAACACTGATAAAAGGGGGCACCGAAAACATATCCGCCACACAACAACAATGAGGCCAGTAGCAGTCAACACTGATTTGTGTGAGGGCTGTGATGCTGCCCTGGTGCCCAAACCGAAGCAGGTAAGATGTAAGAGATTAACAGACAAAACCAAATGTTGAACACTGACATATTAAACAAAATGAACTTGCCTGAAACAAGGGAAACAAACGAGACCGGTGGGACTGATCAAAAAGATCGACCGCTGACTGGACGGAAGTCATATGAGCATGATTACACGATGTCCCAATACCGAGATTCCGCTCTACGGAAGAAAGTGGTAAAGTGGCATCTTCAGGAGTGACATCTGGTTCGACAAGAGTTTGAACCAAAAGCTGTTCAGAGAGAGAAGGGTATTCTTTGAATTCAAAATGACTTAAGAATTGGTAATAGATTCTTCTCAGTCCAACACTTGCATTGGCACATTCACTAGGTAGCTTTAATTCCCGAGCTACTTCTAACCAACATCTATGATCGCACACTCTTTTATAACCCCCGCGAGATACTACAGCCACAAACAAATCACTGAGCTTGATTGGCTTTCCTAAAAGTCTTGGTAACCGACGATGGTATTGCCTAGCAATAAAACTATGGTAAAAGAAATTACCTTTGGATTCGCTTAAGCAGACGTCTATTATTTGAAACTTCCCGTCTAAGCGTCCTGTTGGTTTGTGAAGTCAAGGTTGGACAACTGGAGGAACGTTTATATTTATTCATATTATTTGCATCAAAGAAGTAAGACGAGTCTCGTAAGCACCGTGGAATGAAGAAATGACAGATCTGAAGGTGCGTCCCAAAACCATGGAACCTAAGTTCTGAGGCATCATGGATCCTTACAAATTAATTAAACAGTTAGACTTACACAAAAAACCAAATTTCAGTTCATGACCGCTTAAGGAAAAACCCGGGTCAAATAACCGACTTGATTAACACATTCATGCATTAAAACAAGAAAATCACGCGAGTGGATTTCAAAACCTTTCACCTTTTCTTGAACTTTTTACTTGTCATCTGTTTTTCAATAGGCAAACATTTTTTAAAAACACTTCACAGTGCTGTAAACCAGTAAAATAATTATAAACTCATGCTTACCGTTTGAAGATGGCACAGGTATTCAGTGTTTGACTACGCTTTTACCAGCAACACCTCCTAATATAATTCGTACCCACCGATAAAAATCAAAAGACAAAGTCAAGGAGATCGGAAGAGTGTATTTGGCGATAACCAATATATCGGAATTCTCTGATCTAATCTGGCTAGCGATTGCGGTAGATGTTGAGCACAGCTTTACACGCTATTTCAGAGACCATGAAAATGGAGAGTAATGGATTTTTTAAGCATAATAAACCACTACCAACTGATTGTAATATTGCACCTACTACATATTTTCGGGTTTGTTCTGTCACTACAGCTACTATCACAGCAAAGAGTTTAGCTATGCGATGGGCTGTTTTATCTCATAACATATGTATCTCTAATTAACGTACTATATGTTGTTACTAGGTTTCTCTCTATCTTGCTCTGTGGACTGCCCAAAACGCGTCTGATATACGCTCAAAGACTAGTTTGGACAGAATTTCTCTACGACCTCTATGACATTATCTGTGAAAACGAGTAAGAAGTGTGGTAGCCTGATAATAAATTTCATTTCCCCGTTATAAGCTCACATTTGAGGTGCGGAACAAAGAATGACCTACTCCACATCGATAAAGTATCTCCAAACTGATAGACAAAGATTCCAAGAAACTATCTGCTAGCTTCAATAACCAACATACTTGCTACGAACTTGCATCAACAGTCTGATTTCTTTGCAGTCACTTTTTGGCAACGTGGCACGGACGAATGATAAGAGAAGATTGTTTCATGAAGGAAATAAATGATTTGAATAATTAATGTTAGATAGAAGTGTAAGAATGAAAAGAGGAGAGGTGACAATAAAAAGTGAGAAAGGAGTAACTAAATGATACTTCGTAGTTTGGTAAATTGTGAGACAGTCGCTGGGCACAGTTAGTCGTAACGGAGGATGGCAAATCATGTGTGAGTCCGTGTTTGTAAAGTATTCTCTTAACCATTTGTACAATCAGGACAGTGTCAGAAACAATTCTGAAGTGCTTAGCTCAAGTTGTCTAGTCATAAAGTGAATGGTTACACTTATTTTGGCAGCACCTCTATTATAGTTTGAGCTGATGTCAAACTCCTCGGTTACTGGTTCCTCTAAATTTTACTCAAAAGTTAATTGTTTGTCTTCTCAGTTACCCATGGTATCCAAATAGGGACTTTAGATCGTGAATTGAGGTAGTCAACACGAAACCCGGGTCCAGGGTTTCGTGCTACTTGGCACTCGTCAGCAAGGTGTACCTGTAATCTTGAGGGAACTGGTGCTCGCTGACGGATTTGATCCTGTGTCACTCAACTTCACAGTCAGATAGCTCAGTGGTAACGTCTCTGATTGTGAAGCTGGGTGACACGAGAGCGAATCCGCCAGGGAGCACCAGTTCCCTCAAGATTACAGGTACACCTTGCTGACGAGTGCCAAGTAGCACGAAACCCGGGTCCAGGGTTTCCTGTCGACTACCTGCAACCACCATCTAATCTCAATACATAGTTCCCGCAGTGTCGAGTCACCTAGACTGGTGGCCACATTGCAACATGATTGATAGCATTCGATCTACACTAATAAGGACTAGACACGCATGACATTGATCGCCACCCAGTGATCAATCAGTTGTGAAATAGGAACTTAACATATTATTCACGGACAGGTTCTTATCACTCAGTTGGTCAAGGTTCAACACCTGTTAGTCCATATAATAAGATTAGCTCTCAACCACATGATCCTTGGTGGCGAACATATGACAACTCAGAACATTTGCATTCCATATTCAACACCACAGAGAAGGCCAGAAAGAAAGATGACGGGACGCTTGCTATGTATAGCATGGCTCGGTTATACAGTTGAGGACGCTATGTTAAATATAATATCCTATCCCTATCACGATTGTGTCACTCGCCATAAGACTAGTTAGTGTAGGAAATTTGTGACTTTCACGTAGGATATGATAGATTAGGTAGTTACGCCGTGGTAAATCTACAATTATGAGATTAGATCTATCATTCTAGTATCAAAGATGAATGCCTGATCTAGATCATGATTCTGCATCCACCAAACCAATTAATAAATCCAGGTTGACCAGATCTCTCTTAACAAAGCATCTGCTGTTTGGTTTCGCGTGAGATTTGCTCTAAATATGACATTTTTATTGTGTAACAACTAACGGTTAACAATAATGTCTCAATGAACCGAAACTAAGGTTCGGGAGTATAGTGACTAATCATTTTTGCCCTTTGGTTATCTAATGAGATTGTCTGTTGCCTGAATTGATACTTAAAGATCAAAGTTTGATCCAATTTTCTTGGGGATATGCGTGTTCATTCTCAGGTACTTCAAATTTGTATTAAACAACCACCTTTAGCTGTATTGTACTGCAAATGTTTGTGTGCGTCTTCATACAATCGTTAGATGTGAGTGACGTAGGAAAGCTTCGTACTCTATACAGAAGAACATAATTGTCCGACTTATCAAGACAGATATTGATGCTACTGAGGTGTTTCCTGAATTGAAATGAAGTATTTGAATTTTGGCCCTGACGAATGTCTCAATATTCTATCTAATAATGACAACGATGGATTTATTTATTACGATTCATTTTGTCGCAATAGGGAATTCAGAGGACAGAATATTTCGACAAGCCAGACCTCGTTGTATTTGTCGCAGAAAGTGGATGCTTTCATAAAACGTGCAAGTAGTCATATAAAGTCAAATGAAGATTGGTTGAGAACAGCCTTTGAAATAATAAATTAAAGGGCAGGGTTCCTGCTCTGTTAGCACCTATAACGTTCTCAACCTACATTACAAGTACTAGTTACGGCAGTTTTGGGATTTTGGTTTTTGATTTCCTTGTCCGTTTTGTTCTCTTGTGTAACTGATGAAGGTGGAGATGAAAGTGAAGTGAGCGGTTAGTATCTAGCAGACTGACAATGAGTAGGACACGTTCGTTGATGGAATATAATGTTTTCTTCGGGAACATTAGGAGTGATGCCAGTCGATTATAAGACTAGAGTGGTGAGCTCTAGCTAGCGTGGTAAACAAAAGAGTTTCCTGCATAGAAGTGAATGCGGAATAATGTTCTGGAAAAGTAGATTGAAGATACTTTCAGCCCCATCTCGGATTTCACACAAACTTAAGAGGCGCTCCAACTATTCAACCGCTCTCAACATCTGCATACAATATGATGCAGATATCTGAGCTCACTTACATTTATTGGAAGTAAAGGGATTAGCACTTTCGTTAACATCTTCAGAAAGGAGGTCATTTCTATAACATTAAACACAATATATTTTTATCAAAAAACATATCCTTCGATATTAAGAAATCGATACATTAAACCGAGCTACTTACGCTGCAGTGCTAGTGGTCAGTCGGAATCTTGAAGAGGACAAACACTAAGAATATTTCTCCTGGCAACATGATTCTCCAGTAATGCAATAAATTTCAAAACACATCATCATTTCTATTAGAAGCTTCAACTTTCCCTAGAGTCTACCAACCACGGGTCATGCTTTTTGATGGTACAATAATCACGTTCCTTTCCTAGATGTTACACCTCTTCATCAACTACTGCTGACGGAACTGTGGGTATGGTTCACATTCTCACAAGCATCTTTTGAAAACACACATAGGGTACTTGAATTGTGGACGAATACGTGGAATGATGATGGGCCATTTTAATGTTTAAGGCCTAGCTTTACGAGCACGTGGACTCAGCTTTATCCCTTTTTCAATGATCTCTGGTAAGCTACAAAGAATCCAGTATAGTCTGTTACCAAAGCTGAGGAATTAAAATGGTTCTGATGAACTCTGCAGAAGGGAAGTCAAAAATCAGTTATTATCCTAATTTCGTCATAGTCGTCTACCCACAATTAACACGTATTCCTATCGCTGTTTTAATTGTACTGGTTCTTTTTGAGGCGAATATTTTTTGCAGGCCATGGCTACGACATGAGACGCACTTATATGTGTACTCTAGTGCTTATTATGGGCGTAGGCGGTAGCTACGTAACCCATCTCCATTGCATCACTGAATGGATGTTGTCTTGACTCGGAGTAGTGGTTGTCACTCTTGCTCTTAACTCTAATGAAGAGAGCGAAACACGGTGGCAGATGCACACATTTGACCACACACAGTCGTGTAGATAGATCATGCCTGCTGAACATTAGACCCCAACCTAACTGACCCGTGCAAAGTTTTGTAGAAGGAGTGCAGCTTAAGGGCACGCTTAAGCTGTAAGATCCACTGAGTTGGACAACAATGAAACAACAAAGAAGTTAACGGCTTCTCCAGTGAGTTTGAGATAAACCTAGTCACCTCATTATAAGCCAAATGCCCGTCGAGCGGCGCTACAGGTCACCGGCATTTCAGGCTTAGGCAATCCCCTTAACACGTCAGGGAATGTAATCTTGACATCTTTAAATTACTTGTCTGTCTCTTCAATGAAAAATATTTGTTTGATGATCCACTTATCTGAACAACTAATTTACTCACCTGTTCAATGGCAGAAAACGTGATTAAAAAGCTATTGATAAGTGCATTACTCCCAATAACTTCTTTAGCGAGACTGTCTAAAGAACCAGAAAACTATCGATTCTCCTTACTCATAACGAAATTTGCACAACGTAAAGATAATAAGACACTAAATAAATGAAATCTCATCTGGCATTCAACACACTCTCCTAGTTAAACACTGATCAACTACTATGGGCATTCTAAGTTCCCTCGATTTAGGCTCAGGCCCCCTCACTTTCCTAAATATTTCTTTCGAGTCATCAGAAATGGATAAAAGCTCTTCATGAAGATGTAAAAACATAC